CCACGTTTTCTTTCCAGTTTCTTCCTTGCCGGCGCTGCAGCGGCTGCTTACACAGAGCATGTCAGCTGCGTCTCTGCACAGAGGTGTTGAGTATCTCAAATACGCCTGTGACACTCAGAGAAAAAAAGTGTTATGCTGAATAATTACATCAGCGTAGCAAGAGACAAGGTGTTGTTTCCTTCCTTGCTATGCGTGTTTTTTATTACAATTTTTTTATTGGGATACACTGGCGTTTGCTTGGCGAACTCCCGTCCCCCTTGTTACTGGTACATGTGAAACACAATTAACTTACCGTGAGACTGATCATCAGCATTTAACATGATCCAGCTGTCAGCTTTCTTGTCTTACACGTCTTGGGTGCCAAGGAATCTTTTAAACTGCTTAAAGTGAGCTTTCTTCGAACAGATTGTGTTATGGATATATAGTCTGTAGGGCCAATATATTGTTTTGATGTTATTTTTGACTAAGAAAACTGATTACAAATGTAGTGAATCGGCACATGTGCTGTGGTGCGTGCAGCACGTGCTGTTTGCACGCCTTCTGCATGCATGCTTAAATGGCGCCCGCGCGGTGCCCCTTTTGGGGACAATAGAGGGAAGGCTATTCCGCGGGGGATCGCCATGTGCCCATGGTAACCAGCTGTCAGCCACTTGACATGTCGCGGGTCCATTGTTTGCTAACGCCGTTGGAACGGAGTGGCCGTAAATTATGCACGGTGGCTATCGTGTGGAGATGAAACGGTCGTGTTGCGCCGGGCCCCGCATCTCTGGTGACGAGAGAAAGCTGAGCGAGGCCATTGTTCGCTTTGCGGGCGTGTGGGATGAACTGGCATGGCCCGGGGGCGGCTTAGCGAGAACACGTCTAGCCACCACGTAGCGGAGCGGGCGGAACGAGCGAGGCACAGGGAGTCACGCGCCTTTCATGCCATGATTTATGATTTATGGCGAAGTGAGGTTGTGACATGTTTTGCATTACGAGGCCTTTTAGAACACAGCAGCAGAGAGTGTCGCGTTGACAGTGAGGAGCTGGGCATCTGCGGGCTTGGATGAACTATACCCCTGTATTCTGTTGAGTGGTACACCAAAACACAACATGTGACCTTTAGGTGTGTGTGTGTGTGTGTGTGAGCGGGTTTACCTATCCTTATGGGGACACAATGTCCCCATAACGTGATAAATATCCTTTTTTTTTTCCCTTATGGGGACCGGTTTCCTGGTCCCCATAAGGGAAAACTCTATTTTATAAAAATCGGTGACTGCTATGAAAAAACTAAAAATGCAAAAACTGTATTTTGTTAGGTTACTTATGGTTATGGTTAGGGCAGGGTAGGGGTTAAGGATGTCATACTTAGCATTAGCATTTTTCCCATTGAAATTAATGAGCGGTCCCCATAAGGATATGTATACCCTACATGTGTGTATGTGTGTGTGTGTGTGTGTGTGTGTGCGTGTGTGTGCCGCTTTATAAAAAATTTATACTTTTGGGAAATAGTAGGTGGAGATGAGACTAAAAGATGTTTCACTGGGCAAGAACTCCAGTTACTCAGATGAGCATATTTATTCTGCTGACACAGGTCAGTCGCTAACGAAGTTTGGCATTTACCCCGACTTTAAGGTACTTTTCCATTGCGGTTAGTGTTAACACGCCCACATGTATTGAAAATACTGTGTTCAGTGCCATCAGCTTTCCTGAAATGTCCCAGCCTTGCATGCTTTATGTATATTAGGCATCTTGTAATACTTTTGTTCTATTATTTTTAAATTATCTTCGAAGCACGGTTTTTGCTGTCTGCTTCCTGCCAAAGATGGCTGATACGTTTGTAGCAAGAGAGGTTCACGTTATGAAAATACTGTGGAGACTGAAAATGTCTACTATGACAAGTAAATATAAGAAACGCTGAATTCATTATTATACACATCATATAGGCGAATGACCATATGAAAGTGACCCTCTCAAAAATGTATTTAAACGTTTATAAGAAAACCATCCGTTTAAATGTTCAGTTGTCATTAAGTAAGCTTTAGTTTGATGGAATTGTCTATTATATACCAGACGTTTATTTAATGTAAGCAGAATGTCCTGGCAGACCATTGAGATTATTTTGGAATAAATGTTCTATTGTAACCATTTAAGCATATAGCAGCGTCACTGTTTATTTGCTTTAGGATGCTGGCTTTGTGGAAGCAGCAGCGTTTGATATGTAGTCCGATCGTGGCTGTTGTCTTAAATCCCAGCCTAAGAGGCTTTCAGCTTTACTGAACACTGACAGAGTGGTAATTACTCGGGGATTACTCGTACGTAACATGGCTCCTTATTACCTAAGAGCATCCTGCTAATGACAGCCGTTTGGGAAGTTTTATCGGTTATTTTGTTATTATTATTTTTGCTTTGAAGGCAAAACACACAAAACATGATGGCAGCTAGGAAATAAGAAGCAGCGGTAATTAGGACCATCTTTATTTGCTCATAACTATCATATAACTATCATATAACTATCATATTTTCCCACGCTAACGTGTACACTTTTTGGCTGTTTAGCTGTTTTTTCTCTCCGGCTGGCGATCTCATTTAAGTCCTCCATCTCTCCCGCTATGGCTCACTACATTAGTCCCGGCTATGGTTTAACGCAGTCTTTGTTGTTCGTGATAACGGGTCTCCTTCGGGACCACTCCGCAGTGAATGCGCGCGTTTGATGTTCCGCGTGCGCTGCGCCTTGTAGAACGCGATCTCTTTGTCGCGTACGAGACCCCGCTGACGACAAGCGGGAAGCGGCCCGTTATTGTAGCCGCGCAGCGAGACAGATATCTCAATTTGTGCAGCGACGTGTGGCTAAAACCCCAATTGAGAAATATCCGGCTCGCCCACGGGGCACGGACCGTCGGCACGGCGATATCCACGCGTGAATGGCTCGTGATCCGGATATCGGGCATTAGAGCTGACGAGCCCAGGTGGACAGCACGGAGGTGTAGGGAAATTACAGCCAAGGCAGAAGGTTTATTGAAGGAATAATGAAATTATACCTCTAACTTATATCCTGTATATGTAAAAGCTTAAGAATGATAGGAAATGAGATCTGAACAAAAAAAATTAATGACTTTAATATTCCCACATCTCAGCTAATAGGCTATTATTACTGTCTGCTATCCAGCAAAAAAGATGTGAGGTAATACTTTTTCGGGTTAGTCGACAGACTGCAAAATGAATATGTGGCTGAAGATTACAGTCACCAAAACTTTGCCTTTCTGTGCAATAATCTTATGGAAGCAAGTCCAGCTGGCCATGGGCTCTTAGTTGGATACTGTCCGGCAATACAAGATCCCTCTCTCTTAGGTGTCAGTTAGGTCAGTGAGGCCCAAATCTCTGTCCTAGAACTGTTTCTTATTGTGTCTTTATGGACAAACAGGCAATGAACTTGTGTTGTGTTACCACACACTTTCTGAATGTGAGGCAGCGATGGTGACGTTGAGAATACACAGCACCTTTTTGATGTCCGGAAAGTGGGACTGGAGCCAGGAGCCTGAGATTACAAAGACGTTCTGCCGTGACAGCCGGGGTATGAGCCAATCGATAATGTTGCCTGCTTTCGGAGAATAACGGCGAAATCCACGTAACAAGTTCCTGATTGAATCAGAGATTGGATTCTGTAACAGATAGCTCGTCTTATTTATTCTGAAGAAAATCTACTGAGTTGAACAGATAAGGATCTCCAGGGTGAAATCAAGGGTACAGTACAAATCCTGACACAAGGAAGTCATCAAGGAAATGACCGAAGACGAAGACAGTAATTTTCTGGCTTCTCTGACCCCTCATTCGGGCATTACTACAAAGGTTGGGGGTAGGATGAAGTTCTGATGGTTGAAACACATCACCTGTTCACTCCCAGATCTAATAAAAGCAAATCTTTTGAGAGAGGAAGGAAAGATCTTAAAGAGAAGCAGCTGTCTTAAGCAATTGGGCCCGGAAAAACTGCAGAACCTCTACTTTCTTAATACCCTTATCAGCTGTCAGCTGCTTCAAAGGCCCTGGCAGAGTTTAACAGAGAACTTAATCACATTTCGCCAACCAGACATGAATCGAAAGCTGGCAGTTACAGCACGTGCCTGAGAACAGCTGCCGCTCACCATAACGATTAAATAACATTGTCCGTTAGTGTTATTGTCTGTGCCGTGTGAGGAGGAAAGTCCGGCAGTACAATAACATTCAGATTAAATCAGTCACTTCTAGTGGGTGCTGGGGAGTTGGTTGAAATGTTTAAAAATAACCAAGTGATATTTAAAATGAATGGCTGGGTGGTCGACATTTCCTTATGCTAAACGTACATGCTTGAGGAATGCACCCGTTAGACACTTCAAATATACACCGGATGTTTAAAACATTTCAGGAGGTGGAATTTAAGGAATTTAGAATGATTTAAACATGGTTTTTGTAGAATACCATGGGGATTGCACAGCATCCGGATGAAAAATCAAACCGATTGCATTACCAAATCTCTTTTAAAATGATGAATAATGGTATGCATGCATTGACAAGAAGCTTTTTATGCGGTAATCCTAAGTATACCACAGGGACCATGCCCATCTTGTCTTACAAAAAGCATACCTCTTATTAATGGCCGGGCACAAACAATTCAGGATATACATATAGCATTTTTATTCAGCAGTTACTTCGACAAAAGCAAAATCTCAGTGAGTCACACTAATGTCAAGCTAATTATCTGCCAAATGGTGCTAATGTCGCAAAGCTCGTTGGTGTGAGTGTGATGCCAGGTTCAGGTTGTACCTAATTAAGAGGAACCCCATCGCATATTGCAGTCATCGACACGCCACAACAGCGGTTACTCTTAAGCAGACATGTTTCTGTTCGTCAAGCTCGGCCTTTAATGTTTGGCTATGTTTATCCAGTTTGGTCCAGATCGTTGTTTGGCCTGCTGGCTTGCTGTGCGCCCCATGTTTCGGTTAATTAACGTGATTAATTTGATTTATCGTAATGACTCTCCTCAGGCCACGGCTGCAAGCACAAAGGAAGTTCGCGCAATCTCAGCCCAACTCCCCCAGCATGACCCCAGTGAAGGTGGTGGAGGTGTCTCTGCCAACCCCTGCAAGCCAGATAAGTGACCTCTCCACACGGAAGCCCAAGACCGAGGACTTCTTAACCTTCCTGTGTCTGAGAGGTGAGCCTCCTGCAGCCATGAGTCTGACTCACCGCCTCTGCGACTTCCTGCTTCCTTTCCTTATGGAGTCCACATGTTCGTCTTACGGCTGAATGCCGCCGTTCTGATTTGGGCACTTCTGGGACTTTAGTAGGGCTTGAATGACGAATGTTGTCCTTGAAGGAGCCTCTGCTAGGCATATTGCTCACCAGGCAATATGCCCTCAGGGTATAGATCCACCATTTTGGAATATTTCACTCTTCGATTGCCCAGCTTCTTGTGCACATTGCTTCCGTGTGCATATATCCGCGTGTGCCGGATCTGTTCTTGAACACAGTTGGTCTGCTCCACTCAATTGACCTCAATTCTATTAACTACAGTAACTATACTGAGAGAAGATATGTGAACAGATGGGTCATTTTTCTATGATCGCAGGAAGGCTTAATGATATTTCCATGGGCAGGTTTTCTTTTTCCGTTTTTAAGGAATGATTTACAGTGAAGCATGTACCAAATGGGAATGCTTTGGAAGTATGGCGGCTGGCGGTTCAGCCTGGTAGATGGCCTGCAGTTTTTTCCCCCGTGCTTGATGGATGGATGGATGGATGGATGGATGGACCTTTTTATCTACCATCTATTGATAATAAAACAAAATATTTATAACTCGCAGCCATGTTCTGCATATTGAAATACATCCGTATATTTGGTATGTGAATGTCAACAGTGGATAAAGAACAAAACTCGTAGTTTTTCAAACAACAGACAGCTGTAGGACTTATTGTTAATAAATCACTGTCATTTCTTTTAAACTTTGAGCACATACTCCTCGGGTAGTAGATGTCCAGTACATTCTTTATCTTGACACTTACAATGAACTTGTCAAGATAAAATTGTAGGCACATATTATATATTACAGACAGCTTCATAGTCAGATAAAGTCAATGTGTTTCATTCTGAAATTGTTTTTTTTTCTCCCCTGTTCATCGTAAATGTTTTTCGTGTGTAGTTTCTCTTACCATCTTTTCTCCTATCACCTAACGCTGATGGATTTGCAGAAACCCTGTTGGTGTTGCGCTTTAGGCATCATCTGAGCTGTCTCCCATGGGCAAGAAGGGACATTTACTGAATTTTATGATGCAATATGTAGTAACATTTACTGTCCACAAATAGCACTATAATACTGATGTTTCTCTATTGGATACCAGCTGACATCACCTCCTTATCTCGCAACTAACTTGATTAGAGGGCAGACAAGGCAGAGCTACACTTATGAGTCACGACCTTGATTAACAGGAGTCTTGCCTGATCACAGCTGAGGGCTTTCATCGCTGTTGGCGACTGACTCTTGCATTGGGTTTTACATTCAGGTTTGAATTTTGGGATGCTCTTTCTGCCTTGCCACTCACTTGGTCCTAGGGGTTAACGGGAGGTGATGGAAAATTGGAAAGAGATAGCTTCAAGTTGGCGGGTTGGGGGGTGGTGTTAGATGTCTTCCATTTCACTGTGGGAAGTGGTTGTGGTTCAAGCTGCCACATTGACAGCTACTCTCTGAGGGCAGCCTGGCACGTGACCTGCCCCTATCCCGTCAAAAGAGATGTCTCTGAGCTGGAGTAAAGATGGCCAATCCAAATTAAATTAGCTCCTCTCAGGGTCCGTTCGATGGCAGAGAGCTGCCTGATTAAATTTGGCTGTGACTCCTCGGTTGAGGGCTAACCGGGTTAATGGGTTCGCAGATGTTAAGGATGTAGATTGGAGGATATTTTTCACATTCTCTACCCCTCCTTGGACGTCATGTGGAGTTGACATGAGTAAAGTCAAGTCAAGAGTTTTATGTCACATCTACTTGAAGTGTACAGTGACTGCAATAATCAGACTGTACCGAAATAAAAAATGACAAAATAAAATCTATGCGTGCGTACTATTAACACACATACACATACGCTCTAGGTACAAAAAATATATGGAGACATATACAATATAAATATCTTTACATGTGTTAGGGCATATATATATATTATATGCCATAAAAAGCATACATGTATCATGGAATATACTGTATACTAAGTAGGAATGCAAAGATTATAGAGTGTTTCCATGCACTATGCATATGCGTAATAAGGTTAGTGTTATAAAGAAGATGTAGAATTCTTAGGGTGAATTATGAATGCGTGATGTGCAATACGCCATTGTCTGGGGGCTGTCACACGCCAGTCGCTTATTCTGATGCCAGGTGAAACGAACCGGGAGACATTGTTATAGATGTTAAGTATCATTCCGCCTAATTAGTGAGGCACGTGGCCCCGCTTAAAACTCAGACACTTAACGTCCATCATCACAGTATATTGTCAAAAGAAACCGGTGTGCTTGTTTTCCGATAATTAAAGCTAAATTACATTACTTTGTGTGTTTTCTTACATAACTGAGCGGTTGGGAAAAGCCTGCTAGGTTTTGCTTGGCTGGGTCCCCGGTCTCTTGGCTCCAGGTGTTTTTGGTTGCTGTGTTCCAGCCAAGTTCTCCGATTCCTTCTCCAGGTTCGCGGTGACAGGAGGTTGCCAAGGACCTGAATTATTCCTCAGCTGGGCTTTACCCCGTGGTCTACAATAAACATGTCAGAAACAACCAGACCCTTATTTTAGGGCCGGGAAGGATTATAGGGCCTGACAGAGCCCAGTTACAGCTTTCCTGCCATGACGTGACTTATCACACAGCAGAACGGGGGGGCGGAGGGACAGACTCTCTGCAGAGCAGCTGACCATGGCGAGCCGTGGGGAGACAGACGAGACCCACGGCTAGGAAGCACGATCCAGCACACGCTGGCGGATTGCTCTTGGAGCCGGCTTGTGATATCTATTTTTAAAAGCATTTCACGAGCCCTCGGCATGGTGTAAAAATTGTGGCCGTTCATTGGAGGGACCTCTTGTGGGCTTCTGCCATTTTTGTTTAAAGGCTTGTGTTGTTGGATGCGTTCGGTGCTCTGTCACTCACGGTAAAAAGTGGTCAGTAATGCTGCGCCAATAAAATCCTCTTGAAAATAAACATAAACATACACAACTAGCACAGAGTTGGCTTCTTGTCCACTAAAGAACTAGAGATGCACCCGATCTGATCTTAACGATACTTCTCTGTGTTTTATTTGCCTTCCCATTTGTTATTTAGATTTTCACTGCCAAACTGAAGGTTTATTGCCGGTGAACATAATGTAGCATGTCCATAGCGAGATTTCTCTGGCTCTTCTTGTTTAACCCCATCCCTCGGCAGTGCCTGGTTAGGCTGATCACCCTCCCACTCACACCCCACAGTAGATGAGTGGAGCTTCTCGTTAAGCCTCAGAGCTCAAGTGGTTTCTCCGAGTGGAGACGTGCAGGGAGAGGCACTGGCTCTCCGTGCTCGACTTGATTACTGCGTTTACCCCAAACTGTTGGCTGTGACCCCCCCCCCCCCCCCTCTCCGTCACACCAGAACGGCACACAGAGGTGACTTTTGAGTCATCAAGGCTACAGCCTCATCAGGTGCCACTGAGGGGTATTTTATTATGGTGATTAATTTAAACAAGTCAGTCCTCACTTTAACCATTTAATATTTAAATGCTTATTAGTTAAGATGAAACTAATTCTACCTTTAGTACATTGTACATTGCACATTCAATTTTCGATTACTATACCTGGCTCATTGAAAGTTAAACTATTCTGTGCTTTTTTTAAGATTCCTGAGTGTGTATTATATAAGCGGCAATTAACCTTGAATTTTATAATGTATTAAAAGAGACCAATTAAAAAGGGAATAATTGTTTGCTTCAAATTTATTAAGTGTTTTTTTTAAGTCATTTTTAGTGTTTGCTGTTTCTACAGGTGAAGCCAAAAAATTCTCTAGGGGTCTATTTTTGTCTTGTTTGTTTGAGCCGTTCCTGTAACCTTCTCCGGTGAAAGGAGCCCATCCTGGCGGCACCTCGGAGGTGCCAGACTGGCTTTAAGCCCTCGCACTCCTGCCAGCTGCCGCCCTTGCTGCACTCGAGGCCCCTCCGTGTGCCTGGAGCTCGCCCCCAGCTGGGCGCGGCTGACCCCTGCAGCACTTTCCTAAGGCGTCCTGTCTAGTGCCGCTGCCCATGGCACTGAAGGCTTGGCAGCCTTCAGGGAAGAGTGTCGCCAGTAGCGCCGAGATCTTCAAATGAGCCGTTCATCGTGGGGCTTTTACTCGGCATGTCCTTGCGGGCCCGTAAAGGGGATAATCTCTATCATGAAAGGCTTACCTGCTATCAGCAGACTTTCTGATTACCCCAAGGGTCAGTAGGCCAGCTGCTGTATTTCTGCTGTCATGCTCCTGCAACTATTAAATACAGGAATTGCAGCCCTGTGGATTTCTGGAAAGGTCTCGCTTACTGGCATGAAGTTTTCCAGAGAGGAGGCTTTCGTCCCCAAAATAATTTGTCTTTTGGATGTAACTTGCATGATTTTAGCCAATTAACACTTATAACTCTTCTTTTTATTTTTTCCTTTCTTGATTATGTGTAATTATATCAATCACACACCATTTTATTATTCAGAAGAGCTTCCTAATCTGAAATATTCAAATAACTTATTTTTGGTTATTGCTTGATTCTGCCACCAGATGTCTGTTTTCAAGTTTCATGTGCAAAGGCAAAGCGGAATATAAACACGCTTTATCATCAGTCAATCTGCATCAAGCCAAGAGCCACACTTCATTTAAGGCCAGGCGTCATGAGGGGGTATATTTACTGCAACAATGAGGCAGGTCTTTGTCATTTAATTGGCTCTGACTCTGCGTTGACGGTAACCATGTTGCTGTAGGGATACGGCGAATTGTTTTCAGTTTTGTCACTGCAAACCCCCCCCTCGCCCGGTTGCTTACCCCACCATTCATCACTGCTCTCCACGGCCCCCGTGTCACTCGTGCTGTTGGGAAATTTAATATCGTGTGATGTGTGGCTTTTTCAGGCCCGTAGCGGCGGGAAAACGCGGAGCGATGAGCTTGCGCTCAGATCAGCTTCTTCTGTAATTCGGGTTTTATTTTTCACATACGCAAATGTCCACTGTATGTGAGTGCAGTGAAATGTTTCTTCTGCCATGCTTAAAAATAAATATGTGATACAAAGAAAAATAATATATAATATTAAAATAACAATAAAATCAAATAAAACCAATAAAATAAGACTATGAAAATAAAAAGTAATAATAATAGTGAGTGCATTTTCTGCATTTGCATAGAACATGCAATCTGCTCTAGTTTTTGAGCCTCCAGTTTGGGGGGGGGGGGGCAGGGTCATAGTTGGAGCACAATTGAGTTTATAGAGCGATTGTCACTTTGCAGTGATTTCATCTGAGGGGGTAGGCCCACATCTTCACCTTAGTCTGTTTTTCACCATGTCTCTCCCTGCCCCCCCCCCTCCCCCCAGGCTCTGAGGCGTTGCCCAATAACATGATGTACTTCGGGAGCCCTCGAGAGGACGACGGCCTGGAGGATGAGGAGGAACCTGAAGATGTGATCCCGGAGGCCGCTGCCACTCCCTCCACGTCCTGCCAGTCAACAGTCCGCAAGGGCAAACCAGCCACAAGGCACGCCGTCAGCGAGCACGGTACGGCGGGTCATCAGATCGGATCCCCTAAAATGCTGCTGCAGCACCTGTCCTCACTGGGCGTGACATGTGATTGCGTCGGTCCTGCTGCCCCGATTTCTATAAAAATAATATGGGGAGTCGAGCTTTCAGCTGTTTTCAACCTTGATTTATGAATTTTTTTTTAAATCCACTAAAACCTCATGCTCTTTCACGTTAACTAGCAGTGGTACCGTATTTTCCGCACTATAAGGCGCACTAAAAAGCCTTTGATTTTCTTAAAAAATAACAGTGCGCCTTATAATCCAGTGCGCTTTAAACGTGGATTAATTTCTGTTGTGCATACTGAACTCGACTATGACATTGGTAAACTGCAAAGCCGCACCACTAGCATTAAGGCTACAGTTATTGTTAATAGGCTGACTTTTGATTTAGCGGTATAAGACTCTTTTTTTTTTTACGTGAAGAGTAGTGAAGACGCTCATAAACGTTTGAACAATGTTGACAGTCATTGTGAACACGTGATGTAAAATAAATTTTGGTTGACTGGCTTATCTGACTGTTTTGTTTTGCTTAAAGCGCCTTAAAGTCCGGTGCGCCTTGTATGTGGAAAAAGTTTGAAAATAGACCACTGATTGACGGTGCGCCTTATAATGCAGTGCGCGTTATAGTGTGGAAAATACGGTAGGTTTATATTTATCGTTAAGCGTAACTAGTGCTTGGCAAGACGTTTTATTTACCAATAAGAGCTCAAGGCCTCCACTGAGTGTCACTGTTTCATGGCATCCTAAGTGAGCCCCATGCTCCGATATACTGCTGGCGCAGACCGCTGACCGCACTTACAGGAGGATTAGCGTTTCCCAGTGCTCTCGAACCTGCCACGCCCGCCAGCATTAAGCGCTTGATGGCAGCCTTAATGTGATGATGACGCAGTAATAAAGAACACGGCCTGACTGTCCTCCCTTATCCGAGGCACGCTTAGGGTCATCGATCGTTGCAGTAATACACACTACCTGCTGCACCCCCTCTCAGGGCTGGTTTTTCCAGTCTTTGGCTCAGCAAAGTTGGATGCAGTGCCTGCAATCAGAAGGTTGCCCGTTCAAATCCCAGGATTAAGGGAGTGATTTCACCATTGAGCTCTTGAGTAAGGCCCTTAACCCCTAATTGCAAACACATTGCATTGTCTTAGCCTGCTTTCTGAAAAAAAAAAACTTTGATATAAAAAAGCGCCTGCCAAATAAACAAAAAATTCACATCAAGTTCAATCATTTCCCGAGGTGGAAATTAATTCATCCTATGATGAAGATTGTGATAACAATGAGGATTGTTTTAAGAAGTATGTGGGGCAGCGTGTGACTCAGTGGGCTAAGCCTGTGTGCCTGTAATTGGAAGGTCACTGGTTCAAACCCAGCCTCAGCACATTTGTGGCTCCTTGAGCAAGGCTCCCAACAGGTGGCTGCCCTTCACAGTTGAGGGAGGCATAACAAAGAATTTCCCCACAGGACAACAAAGGATCAATAATAATAATAATAATAATTATTAAAGAACAGATTGTTTTAAAGACTGACACAAAACAAGCTGATTGTTCTTAGTCATGCTAAAATAGTTTTTCATTTCCCCATGCTGCCATACTTACCTTTCCTTTTGCTCTCAAGAAGCAGAAAAACTACAAATGATGTATATTTTTGTCTCATTTCACACTAACATTCAACATTAGACAAGCCCATTGACAGGTTGATTTGGGTATGGGGAGTTCTCCAGGTGAATTTCATTCATATTCTTGACCATAGCTGTTTGCCAAGGTAGAGACAGTTTAACAGAAATAGTGACATACTTAAGTAATAGCTCTCTATTAAACTGAAAGGAATTTGTGAATGACTTTAATACATTTACATAGCTAAGACTTAGGCCTACAAAGTATGCTGGGTATTGACTAATTTGTATTTTTGTTATATATAGCACGTTTTGAAAATCTGTATTTGCAAAATGTATCTTTTCTAAAAAAAAACATGAAAATTAAGTCTTGGCAAAATACTGCTATCATATTATTGTAGCTGTGTTTGTGCTGAAATCAGAAATATAGGTCACACTGAATCATTATTTTGTGCTACTGATAGATACAGAAAAGTCAAAGAATGTCAAGGCATCTCCAAATTGTCTCAGAAGGCTTTAGACCCCAGCGGGTTAAAACCACTGGCCTCTGTACTTGAAGTTAATTTATGAGCTTTTGTTTATAATGGTCTGTATTGTTTCCATGATGTTATGGGTTTATAGTGTAAGCAGTGAACCACCTGTCACTGTAATAATCATGCATTCATGAATGTGCTGATTTTCTCGCTGACCGCCTCTGCGGATTGCTTCCACTTCCTTCCACACAGTTGCCAATGGCCACTGCAGAGCGGTGGAGGAGAGGGTTTCCACTCCCAGGCAGAGGGGCAAAGATGCCATGCTGGGGAAGGAGAAGGGCGTCAAGTTGGAAGGATGTCAGGAGCAGAGCCTGGCCTACTCCGCTGCTAACCTGGCCGGGGGCTCGCTCAGGGGCACCACTGCTGCCACCAGCCTCCGCCATACCACGCCCAGCAAGGAGCTCCGCAAGCAGGTAAGCAACGAGATGGTAAGGTTCAGGCCAGTTATACCTTGTTTCCACCAACATGGAGCCGGTATGGGTGCTGGTGCTGGGCTGGTTCTCGCTTGGTGCCTTTTGAGAACCTGCCCATGTTTCCACTGGTTTTGAAAAATAAATTTAAAGTTTTTATAAGCTGCCGAACTGAAAAAAATGTCGCTGGCTGAGTTAAGTGAGTTTATTCTCGCTCGCTGTTTTCCCGCTGTCCTTAGGGATCACGCAACAAGAGTCTGCTAATATCTGAACTTTGGAGTCCGCCTCATGATCTGTTCACCACTCAGGCGCCACAATATTTTACTTTTTCAACCTGCAACATGTTTATAAATTATTATTAAATCTGGCCAGCCGATCGATCTTTCATTTTCCACAGAATAAAAAAAAAGATGTAGCATTATGTCACTAATAAGCTGGCAAGTTGTTTCACTGCTGGCACTGGTGATATTAGACTAAACTATATCGGTTATGGATTGAATTTTCTGAGTATGTGGACGGTTTGGACTCAATAGCCCGTCCCACTTTCACTCACATTATGGTTCCAAATTCTGAGACCAGCTTCTCTTTGTGGCACCCTGGCGCGTTTGTTTTTTCCTCTGGCCCACCCAGGGCCAGTTTTTTGCTATGGTATTGCGCAAGAACAAGTTCTGGATTGGGAAAAAGTCCTGGTACCACTTTGGTGGAAACGAGGCATTAGACTGCAGCCACCTGTTATGGGAAGGGTTTCCCTAGTGCTGGGGGGGTGTGTTCATTAGCTGTCAATCACTGCCTGGTAACCAATGGAGTAACTCATGTGGACTAATCCAATGGGTGATTGACAGGGCCTGATATTCCAGCCCACAGATCATCTCTTATTCCCACTGGCAGATTTTTTTTCCTCCTCTTAACTTTTACCCTAATTGACCTTTACTAACTGCAGCACAACTGGAACCAAGCCTCCCACAGGGATTCATTTTCGTCAGTGTTATAGCTGCTGAAATTGTTTGCATCATCGGTTAAGCAAGAAGCCCCCTGAGGGTCTGACCCATTGTGATGGGGAGAGGCACCATGCCAGCGTGCAGTGCTGTCATGTGATGGGATCACCAGTGCCGCCTATGCTTCTCCCTCACGGCCAGATCTGAAAACGGATAAGACCGAGCAGCATGATCACAGTACAAACACTCAGGGCCTTTCTCGTTCGCCCTATCAGCTTGTTCCTTTGACAGTCCAGCCCTCGGGTCACTGACGTGTTGGAGTTTTCCAAAGTGTATGATTTATTTTCAACTAATAACCTGGATTACGTTAACCGGCGGAAGATGAATCGAGCAAGTTGGAAAAGAAGCACCACTGCAGATCACTGTGGGAAATTGTTAGTAAGATCTTCAGCTCGGGGCGGGGGGGGCGGGTTTTGGGAGTTGGGAGGGGGCAGAGACAGCGAGAGGTGCTCTTGTTAACGGCACGGGGTGACTTTGCCTTTGGGTAAACTCGCGGTATTAACACGTTCCTGTTTACTTTTGAACGTCTCAGTAGATAGCTGATGGCGTTGACCTTTCGTTTCTGTTTTTGTCTCCTTTTAGAAGAGGGGTAAAAACCGACGAGAAAGCTGGAGGCACATCAGGGGGATGTAATGAGGCCACGGACTAAACGAGGCTGGGGGTGGGCGTCCGCACGGCAGTAATTGAAATGAAACAAGAACCGGTGCGCTGGGAGTGACGAGAGGAGAGCCCGTACGCGTGCATGCACACATACACACACACACACACACATGTAGGGTATACATATCCTTATGGGGACCGCTCATTCATTTCAATGGGAAAAATGCTAACGCTAATTATGACAACCTTAACCCCTACCCTGCCCTAACCATAACCATAAGTAACCTAACAAAATACAAGAGTTTTTGCATTTTTAGTCTTTTCATAGTAGTCACCGATTTTTATTAAATAGAGTTTTCCCTTATGGGGACCAGGAAACCGGTCCCCATAAGGGAAAAAAAATGGATATTAATCACGTTATGGGGACATTATGTCCCCATAAGGATAGGTAAACCCGCTCACACACACACACACACACACTCAAACGCGCACCTCTTCCCACGCTGGCCTGCAGTCTCATGCAGCCTCCTCTCCTGCACCTAAAGGGTTAATTTCCCCATTCCTGCGCTGGATCCTCCTATAAGCTGAGTGGCTGCTGATGCCTCATTGTAATCTTCCTACCATCGTGCGGCTGGGCTATGGCAACACGTGATGTCATCCCAGCCCAGCCCAGCCCTCCCCGTCTTTATGCTGCTGTGCACCCACATCGACTTCAGTGCCCATACTGTAGTTTTTTTTCCCCATTCCTCTTTCATTTATTCGTTTTTTTTCATGCTTTCATTATTTTGTTATGGCACCAGCTGTAGTGCCACCCTCAGTCACACATCGGGGGGGGTGGCCTGCTTTAAGAGGCGGAGGCGCGGGTAGCTCAAAGGCTGGAGAGGGGGGGGCAAAGGCGGACTGATGCTTTTTTCAGCGGGCACAAACCTGTGACATACAGCACAACCTGGAGCCCCCCCCGCAAGTGACTGAGCGACCACCATACGAGGACAGGCTTCCGTGCAGGAACCCCATAGGGAGGGGACCGGGAGGTACCAGTGAGCCCCCTAGTGGCCACAGTGTTTCTAGACACTCCATTAAATGTCACCAGGTTCCTGATTTCAAGAAATGCAGACACACAGGGGGCAGGTGTGGGGGGCGCGGTAACTTAAATAAGTATGGATTAACTGGACGATGCAGGAAGGGGGGGTGAGTTATAAAGTAGACCCTGAGGGGACTATTGTACCGGGGGGGTGAAGGAGCTTTCACCAGCTCTTCTCTAGGCCGGGCTCACATCCTCAGCACCATGTGGACCTCTCCCATCGACACGCAAGCTGTCAGTGGCGCCGCATACGACTCCACTGCACTACTGCTGCCGTACTCGCCGCCTGACAGGCGTAGCAGGAAACACAGGTGCTCTCCGAGCGTGAGTATTAATTAGCTGCCACTGATAAGGCAAGCGTTGGCTTACTCCTCAGTGCCCAGGGAGGCTGGAGGAGTGGGGGGTGGTGAGGCGGTTTTTAGAGGGTACTGGATAAGCTTGGGGTTTTATCAGCCATTTTTCTACCCTCCGAGGAGACAGACCTCGCTATGTGAGTTTGGGCTGTCCACTAAAAGGTCCTTAGTTACTGTTTACAGGCCTCGGGACATACTGAAGGCTTCAGACGTCTATTTACACAGGGAAATAAACACAAAGTGTCCTTGTAACAGCTTTTAATTAGTGGCACTTCCCCACTCGTTACTGCTCTCGTATTAACATAATATTGTCTGTTAAATAAATTATAAGGTTTTATACCTGGTCTGTTGTGCTGGTCCCTGCGGGCTTTACAGATGTATAGCATGGAATGATTGAACCTGCCTCATCTACATCAAATAAAGAACATCGGTGGTTTCCTCCTGCTGTTAGATAGGAATGCTCTGCTGTCAATCACTGATTGGTTTAGCCACTTCTTATTGGTTCTTTAGTTGGTTCCCATTGGGTTAAAGCCAGCAATGGTTGACAGCTCTTGGTAATCCCACCCACCATAGATCTCAAATCCCAGTTTCTCCCATTAGTACTGTGAGCTACTGAACTGGATGGGATAAAACGACCCGGTCCTCCTTATTAGTTTTGTCTAGGTGTTGATGGTGGGAGAATGGGTGATGAATCTGAACATGGGTGATGAATCTGAATATGTCTCATTGCTGTCTGTTTGGGGCATTTTTTTGAAGTTGTTCAATTGCTCCAGACCCAAGGCTGGATTTGTTATTAGGTAATATGATTTTGTTTCTGGATATTGATTAGGGTGTGAAATGTCCGCTTTATGGCCTTAAGTTGCTTAGTATGTTGTTATATAACTGTTTTTTGTGCGTCCTTGGGATTGTGAAAGGCGCTATATAAATGGAACTTATTATTTTTAGTGTACCATGTGTTGTTATAGTTATAATTTTAACATATGTTTTAAGTAAAACCTGCCCAGGTAGACCTACTGAAGAAGAATAGATAGATTGAGTGGTAAATAATATATTTATAGTGCGGTTCCTTCTTAAACTCAGCCATGCTAAGAAGCCTCATTCTGTTGACTATGATTCTTGTCTTAGCTGTGTATGTATCTACTGTATGAGTGCTGCTAACAGGCAGAGGCAAATTCCCTGTGTGTATGAACATACTCAATGAACCTGATTATCTTTTACATTGTCGTTCTTGCCTGTTCCACCAGGTTCCGAAGGCTAACGGGCTCCCAAGGGTCTGTCCCATTAGCGCGCACGCACCCTGTGCCAAAAAGACCAGAGGCTTCCGACCTCCGCCGTCTAAAACTGTGAAGTACACAGCCATCGTGACCAAGGGCCACGTCACCTACACCAAAGCAAAGCGAGAACTGGTCAAGGACGCCAAAGGCGGCCAGGGTAAAGCGGCAGCGGCACGCTCACCCCATCCCAACAGCCAGGCTCACCCCCCCAGCAGCAATGCCCACAATCGCCCCCAGCAGTCCAACTCAGGAAAAGCCCAGAGTAGCAATGCAAAAACACGCAAACAGGTGCTGTCACCCAAGAGGCCCCCGAGGGGGGGCAGCGGAGGCGGCACACGGTTCAGCGGGAAGTCCAATGGGAAACCCAGTGCCAAGCAGGATGATCCGCCGGGCCGGGAAGGCCTGCGGCACTCTAGGAGGCAGCAGGATGCAGGAGGGGGGGCTGGTCCAGCAGAGAAGTCGCTCCCAGGGAGTGGCAGAAAGACCCGACCCCCGGCCAGCTCCCCGGGGACACGCAGCAGAAGGGCCATTCAGGAAGAAGGGGCGGAGCCTGACAGCAGCATCGTAAAGGTGACAGCAACACCTGGCTCAGAGCACCAAAGGCCCAAGCGGGCTTCTGCTGGCAAGCTGATGTTCAGCATGCAAGCACAGCGCAAGGCGCAGGCCGCCCCCTCTGAAAACCGCTCCACTACCTCAGCCGGCGAGCCCGTCCCTGCCGCGGCCCCCCCGCCGCCGAAACCAGCAGAGCCTAAAGGGGACAAAGAGCGAGGCAGGATGGGCCCGGTCACCATGACAGAGGTGCCGGTCTTCAGGCCCAGCCCGCGCGAGTTCCAGGACCCACTGGTGTACGTGGACATGGTGCGGGAGCGGGCAGAGCCTCACGGCATCTGCAGAGTGATCCCACCCCCAGACTGGCGGCCTGAGTGCAAGCTGAATGAGGACATGCGCTTCGTCACGCAGGTGCAGCATGTACACAAACTGGGCCGGCGTTGGGGGCCCAACGTGCAGCAGCTGGCCTGCATCAAGAAGCACCTCAAATCTCAGGGCATCACCATGGAGGAGCCGCCCCTCATCGGTAAGCCAGAGGCCTAGCATGATGGCCCTGAAACTCAGATACACACCTCATCAGGAACCAGAGGTTCATTCTGCACAGAGCTAAGAGCTCCAGAAATACAGTCTATGGCCAAACGTATGTGGACACCAGCTTGTCAATGGTCTCATTACAAAACCAAGGATATTAATGTGAAGTTGCTTTACCCGTGATTATAATAACCCTTGATAATAGCCTGTGCTCTTATGGGAAGGCTTTCTGTTACCTGTTGGTAACATTACTGGTGGCATTTACTGCTGTTCAGGTTGAGCGCTGACAATGGCTGAAAGCTCTCTTTTTGTAAGCTTGTGTGGCTGCCACTTTGCAACTGAACTTGCTCCAAGGCCTTTGACCTTCACCATCTTCACTTGTAGTTGATCAGGGCAGCTCCAGCAGGACAGAAATGTGGTGAATTGACTTGTTGGAAAGGTGGTGTCCTGTGATGGTACCAAATTGAAAATCACAAACCTCTTCTGTACAAACACCTCTTCTGCTGCTAATGCTTGTTGCAGGATACTGCATGACTGTGCACTTAATTATACTCCCGTGTCAGCAGTGGGTGTGGCTTAATATGACAATTCCTTTGATTAATAGGTTCATGATGACCATTGTAGGGTCTTTTCCCATTGGATTTTACCACAATTGAACATGAATGATGGTTTTATAATTACACAAGAGAGCCACGTAAACAGTGAAATCTGCATAACTTTTGGTTAGGGAGGCAGAAGGTAGTTGTTTAATTCGCATCTTAACAGCACGGAGTAGACGTTTGTCTGGTATCATGGGGTATCTCCAGAGCGTGCTCCTGTGTGGAGCTCCAGCCGCTGCTGGGGCCATCTCCAGCCTGTCCGCTCATCAGCTGGTTCCACACGACCGCCTCACCAGGTGACTCGTGGCCGTCGGGAGGTTACCCCATCCAAGGGTTAATAGGTCAACAGAATTGCTGCTTAATTGGAGAACAAACCTGATCTGGGTAATATTGTGGAATGAAGATCTTTGGGAGAGAAAATCAAAACAAACTGTTGATGATAGTGAGGCAGCAGTAGGAGTGTAATGATCATGCACTGGTTCTGAGACTGTCAGATCCCATAGTAGCGCAAGTGCATATGACATTGAGAGCACCTTGGGCTTCTGCTCAGCCACGTGACCTTTGAATGTATTTTTAACCGAGAACTCGACTTCCCGGACCTCCATTGACGGAGGACAACGTTTGCCGAGAGGATAATTCTGATGCGATGCCGTATTTCATCCAATCCCCCCCCCCCCCCCCCCCCGGGAACGGAGCTAAATTTGCAGATACCGCTGCCGTGACGGAATCGTACAAACAGATGGGCCACATTTAGCTGTCTGACAATATGTCACAAGCATTGCTGCACACAGGTCCACAATCACACATAACACCCCATGAGAGCCTGTGACCAATCGGGAATGTCTGAGAGCAAATTTCACAGGGGGGCAGCCACCCTTCCTGTGACAACTGAGGGACGGGGGTGAGATTAAAGGGATGACTGCTTATTTGGCTTGTTTGGCCCAGAGACGCCCTCGAGTGCTCGGGCCTTGAACAGAGTTGGGCTTTTGTGCCGTTCATGAATATCCTACGAAATATGCCTGGGGTTAGAAAGATTTGTTCCTTAATTAGAACAGAAACTAAGACAACAAACACAATTCGAGAGACATTTTGGGGCAACGTGAAACGATTAAATCCTGCTTAATAGATTTACGGTGTCAGGAACAGAATTGGCTTTAAAAATGGCCCTATTTGCAGGGGAAATACAGTCTGTGTGCAGTGTTACTGTCAGGGTTGTGCGGCTCGTCAGTGGTAACACATCTGCGTCCTCCCCCAGGAGGCTGCGAGCTCGATCTGGCCCGGTTCTTCCAGCTCATCAACGATATGGGCGGCATGCAGCAGGTGACGGACCTCAAGAAGTGGAGCAAGCTGGCGGACCTGCTGCGGGTGCCACGCTCGGCCCAGGACCGGCTGGCCAAACTGCAGGAGGCCTACTGCCAGTATCTGCTCTCCTACGACTCCTTGTCTACCGAGGAGCGCCGGCGGCTGGAGCGGGAGGTGCTGACCGAGAAGGAGGGCCTGGAGCGACGGCGGGGACCGCTGGAGGGCCACTCGGAGGGCGGCCAGCATGCTCTGCTGCTGCCGCGCTACGAGCCCAAGAATGGCCTGGTAAACGGCGTGCTGCACAAGAATGGCCTCCGCGGCAGGCCCGAGGAGCCGGGCAGCCCGGCGAAGAGGAGCCGCCGGAGGCTGTTTGCTCAGGAAAAGCACGACGGCATTGGTGGCGACGGCAATGACGACGAGAGAGACGTCCTCAGTGACCAGCACAAGTGCATATACAAGGTCTGTCCTCTCACTCTGCTGTTTAATGTCTTGCTCACCTCCGGGTGAACCCTCTCCACCGGCTCACTGTCAAGGGAGCAAAGCTATTAAGGCCTGAGTATAGCAGTGTAGATCAGCTCTGTCCTTCTAGGCAGCTGTGCCTTTCACCACGTATTGTACTCTATCTCCTCTATACTCACACTGGCCACAGTGAGCTCCCTGTATATAACATGAATATGAGTGTGTGTGTGTGTTGGTATAAGTTTTGTATGTATCTTCTATGTGAATAGGAGGAATCTGACACATCTCTTCCTGGAATTTTATGCTTGGGTGTGTAGTCGGGGTTTTTCATTTCTTTTCCTCCTTAAAAGGAGACGATCGAACCACAGCATTTTGTCAGAGGGGATGGAACACCCCGAGGTCTGGGAGGTTTTGATGTGCATGAGGAGCTGGAGAATTTGCCTCGAGATCTGTCCAGCAGAAGCACCAGAATGACTGCCGCTTGTAGTTCTGCTCCCTTCTGGGTCTTAACCGCAAGAGCCGGGCATAATCAGACTGGCCATGACGATTGCTTGCAGGCGGAGTGGGGGCCGACCCCCCCTGGACGGCAGCAATGCTCCGTTTAAACGGGCCGGGCTGTTTACGGCTGTGTGGGCGGCTGATTTCTGTGGGCACTGTGCAGCTTTGCTCAAGAATCCTCTATACCAGTGTGCGTTTTTGTTTTTTATTTTATTCTTTTAATTTGTTTTTCAACCATTCTGCTCAATGTCAGTGCTGTGTGAGTATGTGTGCGTGTTTCTGTTTTAATATAGGTTATTGCACATTCCCAGCATACCGTGTGCCCCCCCCCAGCATACATGCAGCACATTCAGAGAGAACATGTGACATTAACCATGTGACATCATTCTCTATGGCAGTGTTCCTTAGGGACTTGTCAGCAGGCAGGTTTTTGACCTCATCCCTATGTTTGATTGGACTGTTACGAGATTAAGAATGATCAGGACCCCGATTACTCACCATTTACGGACAAACTACGGATCAGAATGTCCAAAAAACGTGTTTATCTGTGTCTTTTGTGGACGTCAAATAATACAACCGATTAATATTTATCTTAAGGATCTAGCAATCATGCACTCACTTAAGTGGCCATCAGCCTTTAGGTAAAGTTAACAGATAATTGGTCATAATCACAAAGGCACTGTTATTATTTTAAAATGTCAAAAATTAAATAAACATCCTTTGCTAGGTTAAATATAGCTTTAGAAAAACACAGAAAATCAAGATCCCTTTGCATCGTGGGTTGAAGCTCAAGATGCATCCATTAAAATTCTTATTTTCATTTGTAACTGTGTTAAGCATGGTTCAGCTTAAGTGATTGAATGTCCAAGTAGCATTTCTCATAATAAATCATTGATTTGGGCTGGGGAATAAAGTGGACACAGTCTTGCTATCACTTAATGGAGGAAAGCACTCAGGCACTGCGAGGGGAGAAAAAAAAACCTGGGAAGATTCATGTTAAGTGGACAGTTTTTTGGCTTGATGTAAATCGAGGGGGGGGGGGCTTCGCATGCCATGAGCTGCCAACCGTGTTTACAGACATGACGACAAATACGCTCCCTTTACATGGCCGTGAAAAGCATATCACTAGATCCTAACTGCAGCTGTTCTGCTAAACATTCGGAAACATTCTGAGTTCTGGAACATTCTGCACATTCTGAGTTCTGGATTCCTTCTCATAGTCCTCGTGGTGTGTCCACTCTCTTGCAGGGGAGGTCAGTATCTTTAACCACTTTCTACAGGACAGCCAGGAACACCATGAACATGTGCTTTAATAAGGAGCCTGGAGCAGTTGAAGTTGAGGTGAATGTCCTCTGTAGCGGGGTAGCGAAACATTCTTTCCTGTTATGAACATAGCATGTGCTATTGCTAGGGCTGTTTTCTTTTTTGTGAGCATCATTCACTCTGCACTCTCCTTTCCTTTCTCTCCCTTGTCTATCCTTGTGTCTCTCTGGCAACAGCAAGAATACTGGCGGATAGTGGAACAGAAGGAGTGCCACGTCGCAGTGCATTATGGGAAAGTGGACACAAAAACACATGGAAGTGGCTTCCCCATGGGAAAATCAGAGCCATTTTCAAAGTAAGTGCTCCTGGTGCTACATCTGTCTTTGGACATGTTGCCTTGGCTTTATCTGGAGTAGAAAACCGCTAATGAAGCTTTTTAGAAAGGGGCTAACATCTAAAACTCAAGTTTTAAAAGTAATCCATGTACAAATATAATATGCTTTCATTGATCCAACTACATCCCATTCAGATATCCCACGTGAACAATAGGTCCTGTTAATATTAATGTTTTTTTGTATCACTCCATAGGCATGGATGGAACCTCACCGTACTTCCCAATAATTCCGGATCCATCCTGCGCCACCTTGGTGCTGTGCCTGGTAAGCCCAGCTGTACTGCTTCTAGACCTTGACCTTCTCCTGAAGCAGCAGGCTTCCTAAGAGTTTACTCGGGCATAGTGGGTAATGATTTATTTAACGTAGCCGGTGAATCTTTTAATAAAAAGGAAAAATGACGAGGCATCGCTCCAACTCATGTGCGAACTGTTCCTACACACGTCAGGTACAAGTTTTTCTCCACCTGTGCTCTGGCTGGGAAGTAGGTGGATACCGGGGACTGTATTTACGTAATTCCAAGCCTCGCTCATGGTCGGGCTGCATTATCGTCAAAGCACATGGTGGCTTTTAAATCACTGGCTGATCACACAGTGCCATCAATAGGCTGGTGTAGAGTATTGTGGCCATCAAGGCCCGGAATCGCATTCCGCCTGTACGAAAACGTGATGGAAAGAACAGCCTCAGCCAGGAGTGGGAGTGTCGTGTGTATATCAGCCTGAATCTGAATGCAGCTAGTTTAGACTGAGCAGGTCTAAGTCTCACTTCCTTGTGCGCTGGGCTGCAGTTTTCACCTGGCACAGTCCCTGTCTCATCAAGCACTGACAAAGTCACCCTTTGTAACTATAAGGACAATGGGTCCTTTTTACATGTTGAGAATGTGTAGAGCAGTGACCAGGTTCTGCTATTCCATTCACAGGATGGCTGTAAACCTTGGCGCTCGCTCTCGGGTCTGACGTGCGGTGAGGCAGGGGCAGCGGGTGCTTGGGGGGTTAACGAGGGGAGCTCGTGCCCCGAATATCCCTGCCTCAGGTCTGAGAACTGCAACTTAAGCTGAACTGCTCCAATAACGTATGAAAGAGTAATATTTTGCAAGGAAGCATTGGCTAAGCAACAAAGAGCACATTGACTACATGTCATCACCAGCTGGCTTCCCTGCACGTTCAGTTTATTTACATTTATCTTTTTGTTCAACACCGTAGCTACAATCGGGACATGATGTATCATGCAGGATGGCGCAGAACAAATGTGGTCTGTCTTTTTCCGCAGGAGTTACCATTCCCTGGCTAAACATCGGCATGGTTTTTTCTACCTCATGCTGGTCTCGAGACCATAACCACCTCCCGTACATCGATTACCTACACACTGGTGCCGACTGCATTTGGTGAGTGCTACATTCCTGCAGACGTGATTTTCTGTCCCACTATCACACCGTCAGACACGTCATTTGCCGAAAATCCAGACAGGGATTCCTTGAGCTGGATGGTGCAATTGTGATTAATTCCCCCGAGATCCTCTCCCGTTGTCTAGCTCTGCATGGTAACAAGGCTTTTCTGGTGAGCATCAACCAAACTGTGAATTATCTGCCCGTGAGATAAGCATTAGTTTCATAGGCTGTTCTGTCTATTAAAAAAAAGTGTTGCCTTGGCAACTAGGCTGACTGAAGGGGATCTGAAAGGGCCTTTCGGTACAGAGAGCGAATCAGCTGGCAGGTTGGAGATGGTGACATCATCCTGGCAGCCAGCGACGATTCCCGCGTGAGACTCATGCAGTCTCTGTGTCCCGCCCGCTAGGTACTCCATTCCTGCTGAGGAGAAAACCAAACTTGACAAAGTGGTACACACACTGCTGCAGGCCAACGGCACCCCGGGGCTGGAGATGCTGGAGAAGAACATCATGGTGAGCAGGACACGTGCACACGTATATGCGCTGTACACGGATGCGCCGATATGTGCTATCACACGCGTGTGCATATATCCTGCCTTATCAAGTTTTCACTAATGTCCCATATTTAGTTGCTAAATAAATGAATGCCTTGAAGTGCTGGGACAATTTGTGCAATTGCACCTTATCCAACTGTCTTGTTTTGCTTACTTGTATATATTCTGTGATGCTGATTGGTTATTGCTCCATGTTAATACTCTGTCATGTTTTTTTTTTGTAATTTATTTTACTTTAATGCACTCGGACTGTACATGGTGAATTGAATTCTGTAACCTGGTTGTGAATGCTTAAAAAAGGGGAACATGGTGAATTCGCCATCCTCCTTGGCTTTTAACAGCCCTGAACTTAATTACATGCAGGTGCTTCCGGCAGTTTGGCAGCTGCTCCAGGGACAGCGACTCTAATTGCTTCTCTGGCCTGCATAATTAGGAAGGCCAGGCTTCTTTTATGAGGAAATCGTAGTGTATCAGTGACCAGTGACACCACCAAAACTGCAGAATCTTAGCAGATTTAACCTGCATTTCATTGGCTTAATTTTCCCAATTAACATTATGTGACTACTTTAGTTGTCCTTGTTAGTTTCACATTTTAAATATTGTTTACAGTATCAATAATTTAAAGTTATTCTTTAAACAAAGTACTTATAGTTACATCATTAGGTGTTTAATTGCAGCAGAGTCGTGGAAGAGAGTAACCCTAACAATGACATGAGTGTTTGTGTCGCGTCTCAGCTCAACCATTGAGTACAAGACATAGCGTGGAACTCAGACTTCAGCATCCAACATCTCACTCTCTCCTGCCTCATTCCAGATCTCTCCGGAAGTCCTCAGCCGTGAGGGGATCAAAGTGCACCGCACAGTCCAGCAGAGTGGACACTTCGTCATCTGCTTCCCAGGAACGTTTGTGTCCAAGATCTGCTGTGGATACAGCGTCTCAGAGACGGTACACTTCGCTACCACCCATTGGATGAACCTGGGATACGAGGTTGCTAAGGTGAGAGTTTCACCGCATGGGCTGTGTGACTGTATATGTGTATAACAGAAAAAGTCTTCTACCCAGTAATAACACATTTTCCCAATTAGCAAAATATTCAAATGCGAATTTGAAGGGCTTAATACTTTCACACCAAACATGATGGAAATTTTCCACAACTGATTCAGAAAAGTTTGCATCTTGGAAGAAACTGTAAAAATGGTGACATGCACTAGCAGCAGTGATGAGCTCTTTGTTTCTTTTGAGCTAACAGGTGAAAAGAAAAAGGTGAAGATAACAGACACATCCAGCTCTAAAAAAAAGCGTCAAACACTGTGAATTTCAGGTCGTACAAAAGCTTAAACTTCTCAATGACCATTTCAGGCAGTACTTCAGTATAAGAAAAGTTTACATTGAAAACATGGCAGCAAAATCATCTATCAGTCAATTAATTACAGGAATAGACCACCAAGCTTATTGTGCTTTTGTTAACTGGACTTTTACTCGATATTGATTGTATACAGATAAGTCTACAAATCAAGTAAAAAAATAAAAATTTGAATAAATAGCAATAGTTCAATAGAATCCAAGAGGCATATTATAAAACTTAAAAAAAATTAAGCATAAACCTACATAAACACAAGCAACCAGAGCACATGCAAACAGCCTCTTGAGGTAAAATGACAGGCTAGTGTTGACCGGATGAAACATTTTCTTCCTATTCAAAAAACTGATCCCATGTGTAAAAAATGATGTTCTATTGGGTGTTCATTTAATGCAGGGATGTCAAACTGCAGTCCTGGAAGGCTGCAGCCCTGTGTAGCTTAGTTCTTTCCCTGTTCCACCACAAATGATTCAGCTCAACAGCTGTGTGGTAATTAGCACAAGAAATTGAATCAGGTGTGTTAAACGAGGGGAAACCCAAAAATGTGCAGGGCTCCGGCCCCCCAGGACTGGAGTCTGACACCTGTGATTTAATGCATCCAAAAATTACAGAAATTGAGCTCTCTCTGAAAGAAAAAATGACGGGTCGCGACAATGCAACTTTGACGGACCTTGGAATGCAAATCTTCAAAGAAATAAGTTTTGTTCAATTCAGAATAACGTCCTTTGGTTTTTTTGATGTGAAACGCCCTTCATCCTGAGCTTTTTCTCCATGCACCATCCTTCACAACACCATTGCCCCCAAAGCACTTTAATTTTACAAGGACAGAATCTACCCTCTAATTTAGGTTAAATGACAGGGTTCACCTCCACCATCACTCCAGTCTAACTGGAAATCATATTAAACTGACAAGTACAGCCACTAGGCTGCCAAACATAAAAATGCTAACGTTATCTCATAATGCTAATGTCATGTAGTATGTGCATTTTTTCCAGCAAATTCCTAAATAGTGAGTGTGACAAATGTGCTGTTTTGGCGGGGTTCCTGTCCACCATGTATTACTTGTCTACAAAGCACTAAATGGTCTCACGCCTAAATACATCTGATTTACTTGTACGTTACGAAGCATCCAGACCCCTGAGGTCCTCAGAGACAGATTTACTCAGTGTTCCAAGAATCAAAACCAAGCGGGGTGAAGCAGCATTTAGTCTCTGTGCTCCCCGTATGTGGAACTAGCTTCCTGGGTTCTGCTAAAACTGTCTGCTCATTTAAATTGGGGCTTAAAACGTTAGTTTGCTGCAGCTTTTCAATAAATTACAACAGCAATAAATTACAACTGCCACTACAATGTAACTTGTTTTTAGTTAACTATTTGTTTGTTTTGGCTTTTAGGTTTTTATTTGTCTGTCTTAAATGTGATTGTAATGTCTTCTATTTTAATGTATCCCTGTACCTCTGTAAATTGCCTTGCATCTGAATCTTGCCGTATAAACATATATGCCTTGCCTTTATAATCTCAGCATGCCCTGTGAAAGGAATCACGGTGTGGAGCCCACCTAATGGGGTGACCCCACAGCAGCACAAATCCGTCAGTCTGGAGGGCTTTCATATTATGCTTTTCAAAATCCGTAAATAATAGGTTTTTCATGTTTGTGCCATCCTCCCAGCACCTGAAATGTCGGCGTATAGAGAAGCCTTTCTCCATGGAGAAGCTGCTGTACCATCTTGCCGCGTCCGAGTGCAAGCGGGAGAACAGGCACGTTCTGGGCGCGCTTGCCTCGCTTCTCAAAGATCTCAGGTGAGCAACACAGCTCGTTAAGGAATCAGAACCAGAGTGACGCACGGCATTTTAATTATGAGTTCATGCTCATGTGATTTGTTGGGTAGTCCTGATTGGCTTTTCGTTTCATTCTGGAAGTGTCACTTGCTGGGTCCTCTTACAGCTATCACTCAAACTAAACAGTATTCGGTATAATCTGCGTAATTATCCAGTATCATATAAATCCTTGTCATCTTAATCTCCACCTCAAGCGAAATCTGTGTGTCTCTGCATGCTAATATGTGTATTTAATGCTTTGTTTAACTAGCAAGGCTGCTTTAGCTATGAATACATGCTGTGTAGTCAAATCCGCTGTTTTCATTTTTTCCCTCCATTTGTGCAGCTGTTATGTAGGTGGATATCAAGTTTGGCTACCGATACTTTTGTATATACCATATGTTTGGAATACTACCTGACTTTCGCCTCTCTGTAGTGTTTGTTGGTTTGCTATATTTTATCTGTTTAGGCTTTTGCAAAACCTACGGCCTCAAAAAATGTTTTTTGGGTTTTGTGTTTCTTCCATCCATTTATGAAAGAATGTGTTCTTCTCACTGTGGAAGAAGTCTGTAAATATTTTAAAATCCAGTGCTCTTAAAAATATCCTAATGGATTCAACTGAACATAATTAATCAGGAATGGGAAATAGTTTCTACACTGGTAAGTAATTTCTCATCAAAAGTGGTGGATTTTGTTTTTCTGTTTTGTTTTTTGTATATACAATGATATAGCAGTATGCAGCAGCTAACATTTGTTAGCCCCTGTGGGAGGATACACATAAGGACAAAGTCAGCAAATGTGAATCCTGCTGGGTGATACCCTATTATTATAGGTCTGCCAGTAACTTGAAGTGACAGCCGACTGGCATCGTTTTTCATTGGGCAATTTGTGTAGTGGCAGCAAGATGGCGCCAAAATGAACAGAATGTGCAGTGTACTTCAGTGAGTGACTCCCTGTGATGAAGTAGCTACACTGGATGCCGTTTGTTTTCACAGGGATATAGAGATGAGACAACGGCAGGAATTGTACAGTGCTGGGCTCTCCTCCTCGGCCCGCTACGGCACACACGACAATAACCATTTGTCTGCTGATGGGAAGAAAAGGCCTCGCAAGTGGCTGGTACTGGAGACGTCAGAAAGGCGCTGCCAGGTCTGCCAGCATCTCTGCTACCTCTCCATGGTGAGCTTAAAGGTCATAGCATCTGCAGAAACTGTCTGAGGGTTTACCCAGCATGCCACAGCAGTTACATTTAGCACTAGGTCCGTGAAGTAGCACAATGTTATATGAAAGGTAATATCACTAACTACAGGTGGTGCAGGAAAACGAGAATGTGGTATTCTGCCTGGAATGTGCACTGCGCTACGTGGAGAAGCAGAAGTCCTGTCGTGGCCTCAAGCTCATGTACCGGTACGATGAGGTAAGCATCCAGACATCAGTAGAGATGACAGTACTTGGGCTACCTGAACAGAGCACAGGTCCAGCGACATTCTGTTGAGGTGAAGCAAACACTCCAAAATGGGCAAGTGTGTGCATAATCTATAACAGAGTAGCATTCCACCCAGGGTTTACCCAACTTTACACACTGCACTTGGATAGTTGAGCCTAGCCTAAGCAGTAACTGAACCTGGATAAAATAACTAAACAAATAGCCCCTACATATCTTTCATTATCCAGTGTTGTTGTATCCTCCTTGATTGTTTTCATGTCTCTATTTTCCTTCTGCGTGCCTTTCATCCTCATGATCCTAATGATGTGGCAGGGCCAGATGAACAACTTGGTGAACCAGGTGTGCGGGAAGGCGACGGTGAAGGGGAGCTGCAACGGACTGAGTCCCAGCAGACTGCCCGCGAGGCGCGGCCTCCAAAGACGGACCTCGGTGCAGGGGTCGCTCTCCCGTTTCCCTGCCCCCCACCTGTCCAAAGGGGCCCTGAGCTCCTTGTGAAGGAGGAGGAGCAGCAGCAAACTCTGTGGATCTCACCATCCCCCCTCCCTTTTCCGGTAGTACAGAGAACTTGCCTGAATACGCAAGATGTCTTTTGCACTAGCTTGAAAGAAAAATAGATTTGTTTTTTTTTTTTTTTTAGAGAATTTTTTTCCTTTATAGAATTAAATTAAATGTACACATATATAGCCAGCACGTGTTGTGGTGGCTTCCTGTTTCTTTGGTGCTGTGGTCCCCTCTGTTTAAATTGCAGCTCAGAGTCGACCCGATGTCTTTGTTTACCTTCCAAGCCCATTCGCCCATTCATCAGCCCATTCCACTGCATGCACATCCGTCCCCGGAACACGAGCAAGCAAAGCGGCAAAGGCTTGTAAATCTTTAAAGCTACGCGTCAGTAGCCACAGGACATATGACATTTAATTATCCTTTACCTGCAAGCAACTGTTTGGCGGAGAACAGGTTTGAAAGTAAAACTTGAAAGCTCATTGACTCCTCTGTTTATAAACGTTCAGTTTATTCACGATATTTCGTCTAAGGTGCTTCGTTCGATATGCTGACGGAGAGCAGCTGGCTCGGACCGTTCAGACCCGAGGATAAGGTGTGGAGACGGCATCTGTCGTTTTTGAAAACCGTGCCTGATTTACATAGGAAACACATGTTGTTTTATGGTGCTGTTGGTTCTACGACACTAAGAAGTTCTCCATTTCGGTATTTTGTTTCTCACAGGATAGAGAGCCCGAGGGCTGCCTTTGGTTTTACATGTGCAATCATTGACATTCCGATCATCTAGTGATATTGTCATCATCTTTATCGCACACCTGTACACAGGACTATTGTTATTGTTGTCTATTTTTATTACTTTTTTATTTTGGCTAAATGGGGTTTTTCGGTTTAATGGGATTATTACAAATAGAGCCAATCATCTAAGGGCGTGAAATGTGAAAAGGCAGAATTCCACTGTAGGCCCCCACCCTCTTTATTTTTTCAGTTTTCCAGATGTATTACAGAAGAAATATTGAATACAAAGTTCTCTAAGAAGAAAGTGACATTTGTACATATGGCTGTAAATTTCTTTATATACTTGAGCCTTTCATGGGAGGGATTCTGAGGAAGGATGAAGAAAAAGCCTTATACTTTAATTTCTTCATCAGTCGAGTTCAGTGCTTACAGGGTTGCTCTTGTAACGTTTATAAGTGCGGCTTACACCCCCCCCAAAAAAAAAGTTATGGTGGCCCCAATAGGATTTTTCATTTTACCTTTACTTTTTTTTTTTTTTTAAGGGAAGATACGCTAACAAAAAAGGGTTTTACATTTTCATGACTGAAAATTCAATGTAGTAGCTGCTGATGTTGCACTGAGGTTGTCAGTGGTGACTGTCAAGAACCTATAATACAGTCTGTTGATTGTTGTCCACAGAAAACTCAGCTGTTTTACTGTAGGAGTATTTAATGAAAACGGGCGAGTGTTTAAACAACAAAAAAAAAGTGGTTGTCAAGTTTTTATGGCCTTACAATGTATTTTAAAATGGCTTTGTTTTCCTTTTTCTACAGTGTACCTATTGCTTACGGTCAGATGTTTTAATTTAATTATTTTCAGCGTCTCCTTCAATGTGGAAACATGTTGGTAATTGCTGGTTTCTTACTTTTCAAGTTTGTACAAAGGTTAAGGTTTAATTAAAAACTTGTGGACAAATCACTGTCATTTGTTTTACACGCCTTTGTGCCGCCTCTGTGTTCACTGTGATGGGCATTGTAGCTTCAGGTAACTATGCGTTGTTAGCATTCAGGACTGGTGTCTGTCTGCTCACATGCAGCCAAAATACTCAGCACTAACTCCAAATGCTCATCTCAAAGATTTGCTAACATTGAACAGGAACTCCAAGCATTTAAAATATCCAAAGTTTTATTTCAGATTTTGGATTCAGAGATCCCCCCTCTGCTGCCACATTTTTTTCCACTTTCATCAATTAGCAATAAAAAATGTAAGTGGACAACTTACTCTACAAAGAGCAAGTTGAGGGAGGTGTAAAGACAATTTCCTCACGGGGATTAATAAAATAATTATTATTATTATTTAAGCTGACTTAGGGGGTGACATGGTGGTGCAGTGTTTAGCACTGTAACCTCACACTTCTGGGACCTGGGTTTGGTTCTCCACCTGGGTTACGTGTGTGGAGTTTCCATGTTCTCCCCATGTTGTCGTGGGGTTTCCTCTGGGTACTCTGGTTTCCCCCCACAGTCCAAAGGCATGTTGAGGCTAATTGGAGTTACTAAATTGGCCATAGGTGTGCATGTGTGAGTGAATGGTGTGTGTGCCCTGCGATGGGCTGCGATGGGCTGGCCCCCCCCCCCCCGTCCAGGGTTGTTCCCTGCCTCGTGCCCATTGCTTCCGGGATGTAAAGGTAGACTGATGGATTATTTAAAACCAAACAGCCCATCTTTTCGTTTAACCACTGTAGACACTGTGCATCTTGTTAGGTGGACGTCCCAAGGGCTGAGGCAGTAAAATTGAAACTGGCACATAGTTGTGTGTTTTCCAAAAAGACGTGCATCTCACGTCCATCAATGGACCAGACATATAAATCAGGGTATTATAACAACCCAGCCATGCCTAATTAATTAAAGCCTAAAGCTTGAAAAAGAACCACAGCTGGAAATCACGGTGCGGGGGTGGGCTGGCGTGGTGAGTGGCCTCACATTGGATAAGAGGTTACAGGACAACTGTGCTACAGAAGTAATGATTGATGTTTAAAAAGATAATATAAAGTGACTGTTTATTAATCAAGAGATTTTTTTAGGAAAGGCAGCATTTTTCACACAAGAGTAGGATTTCCTTGGATGGGGGCGGGTAAAAAAGCTCATTTTTAAAGGCCGTTTCCTCTTTGTACTGAGTGAATTTCTTACAGCAGTTTTAAGCGGTTGTCAGGTCCATTTTGGCAGCACTGCACCCTCTACCTACAAGGCTGGGGAGTCACTGTCGTCAGAGTTTGGTAGCGCCTGGCTCTCAGGCAGCGTCACCAGCGCCGTGTCCGCTTGTACCTCTTCCTCATCCGACTGCACGACGGGAGAGGCGACATCCTCCTCGCTGGCCTCCTCAGTGCCAGCTGTCTCCTGGCTGACTGAGTCCTCCGTGCAGCTGGAAGACATGGAGGACAGCTTGCTGCAGTGGTCAGCTGCTGCGGGCACCTGAAGCACAAGGTCCGTGGGGAGCAGCGCTGGTTCCGAATCTAGGGAAGCACAGTGGTGGATACACTGAGTGATGGGCCAGCCAGGACATACCTGGGTTCCCCCAGAAAGTGTGTTTCATGTGACTACATAGGTTTATCCCTCCCCACCCAGAATGCGCGCTGCCCACCCCTTAGTGACACCCTTGGCTGAGAAAAAAGATCCGCCTTAAATACTATATGATACACTCAATTTCCTTTAGCATGTAGTAGAAGTAATAATAATAATAAACATTTGAGTGTTTAGAAAGGCGCCTATAAATAAAATGTATTATTATTATTATAGAAGTAATAATAATAATAAACATTTGAGTGTTTAGAAAGGCGCCTATAAATAAAATGTATTATTATTATTATAGAAGTAATAATAATAATAAACATACTGTTTATACTGTTGATTAGAGTAGCTCTGTAATGTGGGTTAACTGATGCTTGCCCATTTGTTACAGAATTAAATACAATTAAGCTACTCTCCTTTTTTCGGGGAGTATAATTAGAGCACAGGAGTAATTAGCGAAAAGTCAAATATCACAGCATAAATGTCAATGGAAATTAAGCAGTTGAAATTGAGTCCAACTCTCACACATGGTTTTGGGAGATTCACAGCGGTCAGATGCTGTTGGCAATGACAGAGCTTTACCACTGCCGTAAAATAAGGCAGACAACTAGCACTGGTGTGACGGTCCCAGAGATTCATCAATTGGGGAGGGGGGGCGTTCAGTTTGTTTGAAAAGCACAGAAAAAAACAACATGGGTGGTATACCTTACTGTATACATATCTCAAATTTTTATGGTATAGTCCAGTGATTTTTTCAAAACGAGGGATTGCATGACAATACCGTTTAATATACTTTATGCATTAAAATTAAAGCTTTATTAAAGATTTCTAATAAAAACCAATAGTATTCCTTTATAGTTGTAAATGGCTCGAGAGCTTTGGTCATGGTATTACACAATCACAGAACTCTCAGCTAAAATCAAAGTATTCATTTAGCATCTTACAGGAGAGCCATGCTTCATTTTGTTTTACACTGTTAAAAATGTTCTAACTGGCAATATTTATTTTGTTGAAGGCCAATACTTTTCAGTTAAGTCTTTTCAGTTAAGTGGATGTTTAATGGTTGTCAGGCATTTAAGAGCCATTTGCCAAATAGGTTTTATATTTAAACAGTTTTTTTAAATATAGAGCAATATCAAATTAAGGGGATTAAAAGGAGTGTATGTGGACATAGTGGAGGGAAACCCACTACGTTCAAAAGAAATTACATTGTTTGCCAGGGTAACCAAATTATGTTTATATTAATAAACATCTGCAAGAACATTGCAGAATGAATACAAGAGCAACAATATCTTAACCTGTGCAGGGGACCCAAACATGTTTCCCTGGCCAGAGGGGTCCTTGGATAATAAAAGCCCGAGAAGCACTGATGCGCATGCCCCCCCCTGCTGTGACAGCGGCACACCTAGCACTGGTGAGGTCATGCTGCTATCCTCCGCTCCCGAGTTGAGGAAAACATCCAGGGCCTCCTGATCCGACACGTCCATCAGCTCCAACTGCTCCAAAATATCCACGTTCACCTCCATCGAAGACATGCTCCCTATTGGCTCTATGCATGGGAAAAGAAATTACCTCTGATGCATTCTGGGTAATGATGTAATTTGACAATCATCTGGATGCAGACACAGAAAACCAGAACCTTTCCTAAACTTTACTGAAGTTTCTAGAATAGTTATTCTTTAACAGAAAAACTGTTTGGTCCAGCTGTGCACAGTTCTGGTCTGTGTTTCAGAAGGAGAATTATACTCTCAGGCATTGTTATTTTCACTCAAGATCTGCTACATCTGCTGCTCACTCCCTCATAAGTTTTAACAAATTTTGCTCGACAGAACAGTTGACTGAAGCAAATCCTGACATATCAAAGCTTTGTAAGATTTGAGGAGAGACATTTGTGCTAATAAACTGAAGAAAGTGAAAACGCTGCCATTCAATAGTACAGATCCTCCTCACTTTCTGATGTCTTGACTTACAATATTTATACTTTATGATGGTGCAATAGTGATGCACATTCAGTAGTCAACTTTGAATTTTGATGTTTCCAGGCTACTGACACGCTGTACATTTCTGCTGATGCCAAGCAAAGGCTGCATCCACGAAGCCATGCTACCAGTCTATAGCGATCGTGAGCATAAACATCTCATACAATGTTTAACTTATTAACTTAATTGTACAGTGTTCCATTTCCATGTTTAACCAAATAAACTTGCATTCATTCATTTACTTTTCAATTACTGGTAGTTATTCACATTAATTATTAACTTTTTCAGTGACTAGCTATTTAGTTATGTATCATACTCATATTTGACTTAAGATATTTTGCAAATACAATAGATTCATCGAATCATAACCCCATTGTAAGTCGCGGAGCATCTGCATTATGAATTGAAATATTGGATCATTGCCTAATTGTCTGATGTGAACAACAGTTTTGAGGTATGGGATGGTGCAATAATGAAATACTAATTTAAGCCAGTGACCTTCGGGAGCAAAAAGTAGGAAACTCAGATGAATGGCACAAACGCACCATGGTTAATGTAAAATGTTGAGAAAAAAAACATTTTTAGGCTTAGTCTTAAATATGAGCCTATGAGGTCACCACTACATGCAAGTAACTAGTAGCTAAAGAAAAGTGAATCCCCCCATACCTCAAATTTTATGAAAGCAGGACAGCAGAGGGTAGCACAACAAAGAGAAAAGAGGCAGCTGTCAATCGAACAAGTTTAAGGAGCTTGAGTGTCCAGACACAGGTAGAGAGTGACGTCCTTGCTAGTGTGTACTCCTCGGCCATCAGAAGGCACCATGGAAAAATCACAGCAAGATGAAAGAAGAGCAAACAAACATATTAACAGAAGAAAATGTCAGACTACTACCATTTTTGTTTTTTGTCATGTATAATTGACATACCCTATAACTAAAACTAAACCATCCTGTCACATTTACCATCTGAGAGAGGTTACAGCTGACTGCTAACAGATCAAGAACATCAATAGTCTTTTATTATTAGCATTTAAGCAGTACAGCTATTAAAACAGTGTTTAAGGTGCTTAATCTTCTTTAGTTTGATTATTATCTCCTGTGAATTTGTGTTTATTGAAGATACGGCACGACACTCCACTGGGCAACTGTGGGCTTCCAAGGATGCTTGCAGTTCTTAATTCTATTAAGCAAGGCAATTATGGAGACAAGATTATTTTAATGTCAGCTATTCATTAACAAACTAGGTACATACTGCGTAATTGATTTCATTTATAATTGTCCGGTGTATTACCAATTACAAAATATGTAGAACTTATTTTTAGTGCACAATAATGATTAGCTAAAACAAAGACTTGCATGATTGGTGCGGGATTGTGCAAAGGAGAGTTACATAAAGGCGCAGAGCGCCTACAATGAGGGAAGATGACCAAAAGAGAACAGAAAAGAGACTAAAAAAAAATCTTTGCAATGTTCAGCTCTGTCAGTCAGCCTCGCTTTGATGGGAGACAGGCAGATGGTGTGAAGTTGAGCAGAAACCTGCCATGTGGTGCAATTCCTTTCGCGTTTGTACGAGATCCTTCTGCGATGCAAAGTTACTCATTATTTCCTCAGTGTTGCGAGGTTGTTTGTACAGGATTAAAATTCATGTCTAAAAGCAAAATAAATGTTCATGCTCCATATATTCAGTCAAACGCAACGCTTTTCCTCAGTCATGGTGCCAAATGACTGAACTGACTTGTTCTCATAGAATACCAAAGAAAAAAATGAAAATCTCAAAGCACTTGGCCCTGTCTATTTGGGACATCAACATGACACGAGATCCTGGGCAGCGTGTGGCCCAGCGGGTTAGGTTTCTGTGGAGCAACTGAAAGGTCAGCGGTTCAAATCGCGTGCTCAGCAGAATAATCGCATTGTCGCTGGGCCCTTGAGCAAGGCCCTTAACCCCACAGGAGACAGTCTAGGGGTGCCACTTCACTCACTTCTCTATGTTTCATGGAGAACAGGATGGGATGTGTGAAAAGAAACATTCTGATGTACTCAGCAAATAAAGCATAATTTCTCATTTTCCCCTATTAACTGAAACTGGTTTCCTGGGATTTTTAACCACTTATTCAATTACCTGAGAAGACTGAGCAAAATCCTGGGTGACATTCAGATGAGTTACACTACGTGCACCAAATTTCACTTTAGAAGATTTCATTTATTAAATGGATTTTTCTTTAATAATAAATTTTAAGAGAAGAATGTGATGGTTATAATCTCAATACAAAGCAAACAAAATCAAAATCAAATTCTAATTCATTATCACTGTACTTCCACCCAGCTCACAGGGTCTTCCAGACAGTCCACATTTATGCTCCCCCCCAGCTTCCAGCCTACCTGAACCAAATAATGAAGGACACCGAATGCCTGGTACAGGTGCTTTAGGAGCTAAACGACCACCCCCCTCCCCCCCCACCTCACCTCTCCTCTCGGCAATCTGCAGGTAGCCGGCAGACAGGTACTGCTCCATGTCCTGCTGGAAAGCTTCCTCAAAGAACTTCTGCCGCTCCTTCAGCTTGACTTGCTGAGCGTGCTCCATCTCTAACACCTTCTGGGCGTGCTCTGAGTCCAGCTCCGCTGTAGGGAAACACGTCACACCGGATGCAAGGGATTAACAGCTATCCGTTGATAGCAAACCAGCTCGCCAATTAAATCTTAAATATAGTCTTAAATATAGAACTCCAGACATGGGCAAACTGAGAAATCACAGGCTCCTGGGCACAAACCTTTCGAGTCAGCCCCCATCCCCAGAGCCCCAGAACCTACAGTATGCCCTAACTAGTGTACTATCTAAGACAGCTCTGGTCCTTCTTAAAACAACCAGCACTGCCTAATTTACTGGAAAATGTAATCTAAAAATAGTCACAAACTGTCTTCACTAACGGGGAACAGGGAACAGGGCTTGCCCCCCCCCCAGGTAACTGAAGGTGCCATGTGACCCCAAAACCCATAGTTTGTGCTAAATAGTGTACAACTCTTTACTAGAGGATTGCATCCAGCACTGCATATTTACTGGAGGATTGCATCCAGCACTGCATATTTACTGGATTGCATCCAGCACTGCATATTTACTGGATGATTTCATCCAGAAATGCATGCTGATGACCTTCATGACCTCGAGGCCCTCCGAAGCAACTGAAGTACACAAAGGGCCCCAAAACCAGTTGGGCAAAACCAGCATGGCAACTAAGAGAGCACTGGAACTTACTAAATAGCTACAGGATGACATAAATGGCCGCAAACTGCCCTCACAAGGTGGGGGAGGCCACTTAGGCCTCCAGACCCAAGCTGTAAACCACATATGACTCCAGTGTCTTATGGAGACAGTGTAATCAGAATTTAAAAGAAAATTCAGTGCAATATATTTCTGTTCCAACCACACTCTGAGGTCGTATATTAGACACCCCTGTGTAGTACAGGGTGGGACCCATTTTCATCCCAAAAACCACTTAAATGGTTAATGAGTTACAGATTTGGAGATGCTTTTCTGCACACCGCTGAGCTGTTATTTTTTGCACTTGTGACCTTCCTGTTAGGTTTAACGAGTCTGGCCATTCTCCTCTGACCCCTCTCCTTAACAACGTGTTTTCATTGACAGACTTGCCTCTGACTGAATGTTTTTTTTTGTTCAATACCCTTCTCTACTCTTCTGTAGTGTGTGAAATTTACCACATTTGGTAGCTACAATCATGCCACATTTAAAAACCACTTTAAATCCCTCATCTTAGCTATAGTAGTGCTCAGCTCTACAGTAACTGAACCCCGTCTTCGTGCCGTATATCTTCAGCAGCAGCCACATGATTAGCTACTTGGAAGTTCACATTAACAAGTGGGTACATCCAATAAAGTGACCACTGACTGCCAACATGTTATATTTCTGAAGATCAAAGATCATGTTTATATAGTCTTGTTCTGATTTAATGATCAAGTTTCTCCCAGAAACTTCCAGGCACATTAAGGAACCAGACCCAGGTTCACACGTACTTTTCTGCCCTGACAGATTGAGACAATAGCTTACATCTAAGAAGCAAAAAATAACCGGAGAGCAGGCAGCTGTCATTGTTCTGCGTTTCCCTGCCTCGTTGTGAGGGAAGTCAACATCGGCCCTGCTGCAGCCATCACTCTGTCTTTCATCAACCACAGTGCTAATCCCCAGGCCAATCTAAGCCTAACCCTAACCCTAAGCCTAACCCTTACCCCCAGGCCAACCTAAGCCTAACCCTAACCCTAAGCCTAACCCTTACCCCCAGGCCAACCTGCAGGTACCAGCACTGGGGACGGTAATAACGCAGCTTCAACATTCCAAAACCGTCCTGTGAACACCTCCCACCTCACCCATCTTTAAATTGTGTCTAAATTGCCACATTCTTGTGCGACAAGATAATTTCTTCAGCAGTATTTATAGAACACATGTTAATAGAATGCTTGCAAAAAACTAAAATAAGGACCTTTTTACTTCCTGTAATGCAACCCCATAGGTTTGGCTGTTCATTCAAATACTGGCAATATTAGTATTATGACCTTATTCAGTTGCATACTGAAGCAGCCAGATATAAAATCAGTATTCTTTGTAATTGCTCTATACTACAAATATTGACATTGGGAAGAACAGATGGTAGATCTGGGTATTTGTATTTATCACAGATGGCTTGGTTATGCCATCCCTACAATGATATAAGCATCTAATTGTGCTGTATTCAGCTTAAATTTTTTTGAGGGGGGGGGGGGGGCAAAGACTAGAAGGAGTTATCAGGCTTGCTTCAGTCAATTTAGCAGCAAAAGTTCTTTGGCAAAAATAAAATAATCAGACAATTTCAAAAATAGTCACATTCACTATATACTGGCACTAAAGAGCTGCAACTACAGGAAAAGAATCAATAAAGTGAAGACTAATTGAGCACCTTAACTAACCAGCATTAATTAAATGGGTTTCAGGACTTGGGCGAGATTTTACATTCCCAGTAGTAACCAGAACCATTTCCTCAAAACAGCTACCTTCCCCGTCATCTCCGTGCCGGTTTTCCCCAACGGCTCTGCAGACGACAAGCCAGATTTGTGAGGACGAGATGAAGATGGTGCCTGTTCACCCCTAGGGTTTCTGTAGCTTTGCCCGCAGGATGGCCATCGACATACATAACTGTATTAGCATTTCAATCACACCCCCCACCGCAAAAAATTATTGTACAATTTTTCGTTCTGTAAATCTTTTATGTCTTCTAATCATCCTTTTCTGTGCCTGTAAAGGTCAGCAAGCGGATGTCACTGGCAGTACAGATCTGATTAAATTAGAGCATGGCTACGTTTTTGTTTTTCTCTTTTATTTTTTTTTAGAGCGTTGGCAGTTCCGGCTCGCTATCCGGCACATAAAGCTGTTTTTGTGGTCAGTGGAGCGGCAGAGGGCGCTGCTTCAGAGGACTAGTGCCACCAACCAGACAGAGAATAGGAGCATCTATTTCAGGCGATTTCGATACTGACCGCACATGCAGAAGTACCAGGTGAAATGGTTACACGTGCAAGTGGTTTGCATAGCGGGGCGCGGCGCCAGCCATCGTGATCCTGCTAAGCTCCCCCACAGGACAGCAGGAAGAATGAGCAACCCCCCCACCACTGCAGCTTCAATTATTTTCATTTTTCCCTTATAAGTCAAAGAGAAACCCAACCTCTAAAGCAAAGAATCAACCACCAAGGTAACCTCTTACTTTCCCACCAGCCCCTGAGAGAAACCACAGGCATAAGAGTACTGATCAGTCGGAAAGAGCCGAGGGGTCGATATCTGCCCTGTGGCACCATTCAGAATGAAAATCATTCAGCAATTGAGAGAGAGAGAGATATCAAAATGCAACACAATCAAGAAGCCATGATTTTCTGAGTCCTACCTGCGAGAAGACTGCCCTGCCTTATCAGTACGGGCATTCACAGTTACTGTGCCTGAGACAGGAAGTACCCACTCAGAGCAGCAGGAAGCATGAGCCTGAATGTGTGAGTGTGTGCACGCACGTGCATGTGTGTGTGTGTTCTGTGTGGGTACAGTATATGCGAGTGAGTGTGCATGTGTGAGACAAAGTTTTTCAAAATGGCTTCCTTTATTATGTGCTTAAACATGAACAAGACCACACGTCACTAATGTAGGGTAACTACATCCCTAATCAAACCTACAGTACACAACCTTTGTACTCAGCATCTACATATTTACATAAAATCTGGGTCTTATCATGGAAGTATGCCTTAAACAAAGTAGGCTCGTTAAAAAATCACTTTTGAACCAGAAACAACAAAACAAGGACACATAAGTATTTGCAGCTTTGTTGACTATGCAAACCGCTGGACGTGGAAAGGCGGGCAAGACCATGGTCAGCTTCAGAGGGACAGAAGTGGTGTCTCCTACGATCCAACAACAACTGAAGGAAACTGTCATCGGGTTATTGCTTTCCTGAACACAGGTCATAGAATTCTACAGAATTCCAGCACTAGGGACATACTGGCTACTGATTCCTGATCCTTTAGATTTAAGTGGTGTTAAGTAAAGCAAGATGTATAGAAATATCAAAGCACACATAAGGAAAAACGGAGAAACACAGCCATAGTGAGCACACTGACCAGACCCCTCATAACATCTTAAACCTGAGAGAGCTTTCAAAGAGCTGAGAGAAAAGAGAGGAATCATTCAGGGATGTAATTAGTTCGGCTGAGGGCCTTGGTGCTCAGGAAGATTGAAAGCATTTTGAACACTCAGGCATTTCCAAGACATACGAGGAGCTTGGCATCACTGCATTCCAGCTATGGCACTAGTTATGTGTGCAGATCTTCACTCCAGTTTACCTCTGGTTCTTGACTAGACTACTCAACCAGACATCCAGCATACTAAATTTACAGCTACTAACGAAATTTGTGAAACGCTTTTCCTATGCTCAGAATATCCATCAATCCATCCTCCATCTATCCATCCATCCATACTTGTAACCACTTGTAATTTTGGGTCGCAGGATGGTCCAGAGACTATCCCAGAGGCTACAGGCACAAGGCAGGGAATAACCCAGGATGGGGCACCAACCCATCGCAGGGCACAAGGCAGGGAATAACCCAGGATGGGGCACCAACCCATCGCAGACGCTCAGAATAATGACATTTAAACTGCCACTAATGACTATTTTATCGATTTATCGATTTTCCTTCAGAAAATTAACTTGATTGTTCAAGTTAATTTTGTTTAATTGTATGCCATTGTACAGCTTTAGATTTAAATGTACTTATTTTTTTTAATGGACAGTGGCTTTATTGGCACTATGTGCATTGCCTACAATTCAATAAGCAGATTAGTAGTATGCCTAAATATATTAATGACATGGATATTGTGATGCCCTAAAGTTAGTAATCTGTATAAATTTGCCGTACTACCCTCATGCTTAATAAATTCGGTTAGTGGAGCACGTCACATTTGACAGGAGTGATAAGCACAGAAGTCGCGATGAAGGAAGTCACAGACCAACAGCCACTTTTTAGCTTATGATACACAAGTCCAATGCGCACGAACACACACTGGCACCATCAATTAACGCACAGTAAGCCCAGATTTTAGC